CCCACGGCAATTCATCACAAATATTAACTGCAGCCAGAAATTCAGGAAAGTCTCCAAACAGCTCAAAAACACATAAAAAGAATAGTATAATGTAGGCGGCTTGTCGTCGTGTTTATTAGCAACGTTATTAAGGATGATTTTTTAAAATTTGTATAAACGCAGTGATGCTTCCAATCAAGAAGCTAATTTTCAAAATAAAGTGGTTTAACTCTGTTACCATAAAATCCACTAATTATTAAAAGGGATGGATTCAATAGTGTTGAGTCAGAATTCACATGGTTTTCTTGTCTATAGTCTCCTTTGTGAGTTTTAACATCAAACTACGTATGCATGCAAACTTTGTGCTATTTTAGCCATTTCTATCAGAACATTTGTTTGAACAGGAATAGTGTAGCATGACTTTTGTATTTTTTTTTTAATTAAAACTATTTACCAAAAGTTTTTTTCAAAGAAATAAATCGAGAGCTCATTGTTCTTTGCAATCTGCTTAAGCATGTCTGATCTAGTTTGGTCTTTTCCTTTAAGCCGTTTTGCAAAATGAGCTTTTAGCTGTGACATTTAGCTACATTTATCTTTTACCCACTATATTTCTAATTTTAGTTTTAGCTATGCCTTTGCTAAATTTAGCTCTTAGCTACATATTTTCTACATTTAGCTTTAGCAACGACTTAAAACATTTGCGTTTGCTACAGTTTTTTTAATATTAGCTTAGTGGATTTATCTAATTTTAGCTTAAATCTACAGTTTTGATATATTTTGTTGTTTTTTGTTTGAATGTAGCTTTTAGCCAATGTTTTGCCAATTATAACTTTTAGCTCAGACTTTGCCACATTTAGCTTTTAACTACTTTATTTCTAATTTTAGCTTTTAGCTATGTCTTTGCTAAATTTAGCCTTAACCTACATCTTTTCCTACATTTAGCTTTAGGAACAATTTTTAAAACTTATGTTCAACTTAGCTTTGAGGAATTCTTAAATTTTAGCTTTAGTCTACAGTTTTGTTATATATTTTTTGTTTAAATTCAGCTTTAACCCACTGTTAAGCAAATTAAAGCCTTTTGCTCAGACTTTGTCACATTAGCTTTTAGCTATGACTTTTCGAAATTCATCTTTTACCGACCGTTAAATAAATTATAGTTTTTAGCTCAGATCGTCACATTTAGCTTTCTGCTCATTTTAGCTTCTCTTCTGCTTGTTTTAACTTTAACCAGTCATTCTTCAACAATCTTCAGACGTTTTATCGTGTAATATATAGAAAACCTAAATAAAGATTAGATAGAATCATGAGAAATCTTTAAAGTTTTTAACAGTAAATTGTAATTTCACGTCTACGCAGGTCGTCCTGTTATATCCTGGTGCGTGTGTCTATGTTTAGAACATGGACGGGGCAAAGCTTCACACACTTCACGCTGTGTCTTGAGCAAACATTCTCTAATCCAGGCTAAAGCCGAGGAGATAGACCTGGATCCAAGAGACAACAAACCGGAAGCCTCAGTGGAAGCCTGCAGCGCTGACATTCACAGACAGCTCGGCTCAAGTTTGAGTTTTGCCTCCATGCCATGAAGCGCACACAGAGCGCCAAAAAACAAATTCTTGTGACTGTGACATAAAAAAAACCTGCATGAATGGAAAATTAATTGCATGGAGACGAGGCTGTAATAAGTGAAGAATGTGTGGCTCGTCAGCAGGACTGAGAGGTCAAACGGTGTAAAGAGGCCATTAGACATCCAAGCGTCAGCAGCACTTTGACCGACAGCGCCGGCACTCACCGCAGACTCAGACGAGTCAGAAAAGGTTACAAAATGGATTATTTTGACAGTCGTGTCAAAAGGGCTTTATCTGGGTTTAATTTCCTCTTCTCCTGACCCCAAAAAACAACACAAAGATGCTTTTAAGAAAACTTTACAAATGATTTACACAATGATTTTCACTGGCCTACACAAGGCGAGGTCAGTGAACGAGGCCAGGCTTATTCTGGCAGATCCTGATCACCCACTCCATGGTGAGTTCAGGTTGCTTCCATCTGGACGCAGGTGTCTGCTGCCCACATGTTGGATGAATAGACTGAAAAACTAATTAATCCCTGTAGAGATCAGGCTTCTCAACAAACAATGATGATTTCTATACTGTTATTGTTAGAGGTGCACCGATAAATCGGCCGGTCGATTT